ATATTATTCAACATAATGAAATAAACTTAAGTGTATTTGTTTATTCTTATTTGTTTTACCTGTTCTATTAAATATTGGATATTTATAGCAAGAATTTTTTTCATTGACAAAAATGGATTGCTCTAGAAAAAATAGTATTGGATCCTTGCCAAGGCGTTTAAGGTGCTCAGTCCGACTGAAATTAAAAACTGGGTCCCCACTCCTCAGGGAGATACAAAACCTCGAAGAAGTGGTAAAAACAGTCCGAGAACGTTTGGAGTGGAGGACTATGGTCGCCAACCCTCAGATATGAAGAAGGTACACTGAGTGAAATACAAGATTACCCAAAAAATATATTTGTAACGTTCTGGAATTAGTATATAATATAGTATATAATTAATAAGATAACATTCTCACTCAGAGCGACTTTGTAGATTTATTACTATATACAGTAAATAGTGTACAATTATACCTGGTGTACAGTATGCCCTACTGGTAGAGAATGAATCTTTACTGAGCTAGTCAACTTAATGTAGTCACTAATTATACAGTATATGCGAGAATTACTAGTGGGTACATGAGATCACGGAGATTATAGAGGAACTGCCAATTAACTCCTACCTTCTTGGTCCTTGGCTTACACAAGTAAGTTATTGTAATACCTATTACATAAACAGAAAGACAACAACCAGTGTAGTGATGAATTAGTACCGGTACATGTATCGTACAAGAGATAATAATAATTAATAATCTTTGTTTAATCACTGAACACTAATCCTTAAAAAAGGTTTTCCAGTGATTGTCTTCATAGATTACATCTTTGTGTAAGTCGCAGAATAGATAAAGAGCCATAAAGAATAACAAAAATTAAAAAAAGATCACAAGTGAGAAACAATATATTTATGTTGTGTTGTCAATAGTAAGAGAAACAATTGAGACCCTGCAATTGTGTGTAAATGAGGTAGAAAGTTAGATCAGCAACCTGGGACTTGGTCACAATTTTCGTGGTGCCATATGGCAGCAGGGTCTACCATTAGACAATACATTATGTTTCCAATATCTTCCCTGGCGGTAGTACCTCCCTGTTTGGTAGCTGCCTACTACTACTCGTACATGGAAGGACAATTTAGATATAGGTTTAGTCACTTAGCGAATCATAATATATTGTTCAAATATCCGGCTGGCCAGGAGGCTTGGTGATAAGGCGCACAGGGAAATGATATAGGTATCATGACCACCAAAAAAGTAAAGCAGTTTTAGGGTAAAAACACGGATTTTTAAACCTATGAGTCATGCCAACGGATACTAAACCTTTCAAACTTCCTTCAAAGGGAAAGGTTTATGTAGCCGTGTGTGTGTGAGGTCACTCTATCTTGAGATGAGGATGTACAGGATATGACTTTGATGAAAACTCCAACACGGTCTAGGTGCTATCTAAAAAAAATATTCATTCAATTATTTACTTAAATATAAATATATACAGTACATAGAATAGAAGTTCCTTCATCACCGTGTGTTTGAACTATTCGGTACTCTTTTTAATGTAAACAACGTGAATTGCGTATTACTGCAACACAACATAGATGTTAGCAGTTATCAACAGAAGCCCAACGCTGTCAAACGTGTTCCTGATAGTAACTTTTTTCGCCCAGAAGTATGTGTAAACTGTGGCCTACAGTATCTTGCTACAGTGTCTTGTTTTTCTGTGTAACCGCTACATCATCACCTAAGATATACCTAACTTTATATTATTTCAGTGTAATAATATTTCACCTTAGGATTAAACACTAGGTGGGGGGTGGGGGTTAGGGTAGGTTAGTACTAGGGTGATTGATAGTAAGATGAAATAAGGTAGTGACTAATCTCCAGATGATTCGTAGCAGATAAGTCCTAGTGTTAACAGTTTGCTAGATTGATGTTTATGGGTGGTGGTGTCATGGCGCAAACACCGTATCTATATTAATTAAGCTCGACACTGTTAAAAGAGAGTTTTATATCTCATAATGTTTAACTGTTGATTGGTGTACAACAATAGTGTAATTACTACCCTTTTTACGCGCTTAAAAACCTTAGTTGTGAAGCGCAGTAATAATATTATATAAACAATTATGTTGATCTTCCAGAGGCAAATGAACCCGTCCGTTCACCTTATATAATGAAACAGTTAATGCTATAGCAAAAACTAGACTGTTACATCAGGTGGCGTTTGGATTTTCCCGTTTTCTATGTTAAACATTTTCTTGTAAATGTTATTGAACAGAAACGACAGGAGATATGACATAGACGTCTCTTTAGTAGTGCATATGGATGGTCGTACAGATGACCAGTCGCCCCATAGGCCCTCTCCCTTACCAGTGCCCTAACACGGATTACCTAAGATTAACCACCAGCTTCTTTTATCGGATGGTTAAACACCCTAACACGACCTGTCAGGGGGTTACTCTATATTAGGTTAATTAGGTTAAGTAAGCATTGATTAAATTTGATCTAGGTTAGGCTAAAAGGTTAAGTTAGCATTACGGTGGTTAATCTTAGAGTGAAAAAAGCCGGTGGGACTAACCAGCATCACGTTGACCCAAAATTTACTTCCATTTTTAAGATACAATAAAATTAAGACGTAATTAATAAAATCATCCCCATGTTTTTGGACAAGAACTCAACCCATATTTTGGCTAAATTTAGATACAGGTTGAGAACAATTTACGAAACTGTAATGTACTAAGACTGGGCCATTACCTGAACCTTTATTAAACAAGTTACAATCAAGTGCCTCTCCTGTGACATTTTGAGAGAAATAATATAAGAGGGGTGCCAGGTTATATGTTGTAACCTACAAGAAATTTTCAGGGGGTGCCAGGTTATATGTTGTGAGGAAATAATGAGTGAGTCAAAGTGAGTAAGAAGGTGAGTGAGTGAGTGAGGGGGGGGGAGGGGGGAGGGGGGAGGCAACCAATAACCTAATTTGCATGTACAGGTAGTAATAAGTATGAAATGTTTTGTCAATATTTTACACGTGTTATCCCTAATTACTTTATTAAAAAGACTAACACAACTACATTGCCAATCAACATTTACCAAAGGCCTAAGAATAAAGAATAATAACAACATAGAAAAAAAGAATAATAAAAAAACATACACAAAATATTTCAATTCATTTTCACGTAAAACATAAAATTTGTCAACTCAAAATTGCAAAAAAAAAAATCGAAAATAAATTGACTGTTACTCCACCTACACGAAGCAAATAAAAAGCAATATTTGGTGTGCACGTTTCCTTTACATGCCTTAAACTTGACGTTAAACTTCACGAAAAATTTCTTCGCATTTAAACACAATCAATGTCCAGTTAAAGTGTGACAGGTACAGATGGACGAGGAATACCCCCTTCACCCTCTTCGTTTTAAGTGTTTTTACTAGGGATATGAACTACGGTACAGTATTGCAATTGTGCATGTATTAAACAAACGTATAAATGTGTGCAAAAAACAAATATACACACATGTGTGTAAAACAAACGTACACACGCACACACACGTGTTCATGAGCGCATATAAATGGAAATGATGAACACTCGAGTTTTTTCTTTTTTCGATAATAAACATGAATTCAAAAAGTAACAAAAAACTGAAGATGTCCTGTAATAAAGTGACTAAGAGGGGAGAAGTAACGAACGATGGGTCTATTGCACTCAAATAGTATATTTTCATAGTGTTCATTAAAAGAAAATAATAAATTTATCTAAATTCATATTCCTTATAAAGTCTATGAATTCTGCTCAGAATTTCTCCACCTTAAGTGCTGTAATGAATAAATGGTGCTGTTAACCGCGTACACATTTACCCTACATATATTTTTTTCGTGAAAAATAGGCCATTTCTTTCCCTGTGTGTTACCTTTCACTGATGACTAGACATTTACATCAGTCAAGACAAAAGGTGAGTTTTTTACAAATGTAAGTTAGGAAACCAGGTCAGGAGATGAGAGGTCATTACAGTTTACATTCACTGACACAATGACCAAGATTGGGTTCAATTAATATTCATAACACATAATGAAATGTTTATGGTTCACTTTGACTGCAAATAAGAAAGTCTTTGCTCATACCGACGCATTACAGTATGTATACTGTACGTCTGTACGTCCTTCTGGTACTGTAACTCATTTTCCCTAATGACTTTCTGTGAATGTTCAGAGCTTAGCACATCTGCTGACATGAGTACTGTATAGTACAGTAAACATCTTAAACTGGCCCCAAGCGAGTTGATATAGTGTATATTTTGTACAGTTTTATATATATTGTACAAAATAAACAGCAAAATAACTAAAACAATATGCACCTGAGATGGTGACATAAATTTGCAGTATTAAACACCATAAAATACAAAAACAACTACAAGTACCGCAAATTGAAGCCCTCAATTAAGAGTGAGGTGACCATTAGGGAGGTAATCTTCACAGTCAACCTCACAGTTCCGTGGGACACAGTTGCAAGAGTTACAAATTTCCAGAAACAAGTGAGGTCAATGCTTTACAGTTGATAACGAAATGCTGAGGGGCAAGATAAAAACCTCCTTTTAATTATAGGAGCAATAATTTTAACAGGTGGTTTGTAATCTATCATGACTCATATATGGCACTTTCATAAATGGTGAATATCAGTTGAGAAATGACCCGATGACCTGCGTTGTTGTGTAACTTCTCCAACTTACTTGTACACGGAGGGAAAAAAGTTGAGGACGGACGCAAAATTCTTGTGTTCCTTAAAATGTCCAAGTTCCATGGAAAGGTAAATGTAGGTCCGACACTTTCCCTCACTAGCGGCTATTGATTGTAGATTAAAAGCTGTTATTATTGGACATACTACAAACTGGAGAGGAATAAACACTCACTTGAGGCAGAGTAATCAAGTTAGGTAATAAGAAATACAACTATACGTGTGACCTTAAATGACATGCAACTTTTATTAAAAAAATAAATAAATTTAGAGTCATTTGTGATGTAGCTGGGTCAGGGTGTGGTGATGGTAACCGGTAAGATAGGAGGTACAGTATATATAAGACCAGTTACCACCTGAGGAGACAACACACTCTGCCATGAAGTTCTTGGTGAGTTGCACCTTCACTCCTCGCCTCATGTGATTCACCCAAGACCACTCGAATGACCCGGATATTACCACACTTCCGCGATATGGATATTGTACTGGATTCACAGTGATAGTGTTTTAAACTCTGTGTGTGTGTGTATATATGTGTGTGTGTGTGTGTGGAAGAAACTTACAACTTGATTATGAATCAGTGTTGCATTTAAAGTACGCTTGGAGAAGTGAAAGCTACTTGAGTAACATAAACAAAATATTAATACTGGTTCCCTCGCTGTGTGCCCAGTGTTCCTCGCCAGATATTCACTATTCAGCCTCCACTGCCACCAGAACACGTGCTTCAACATCCTGTCTTCTCCCTATATACTGTTAATTGTGGCTTAAACTTCAGCGTACAGTATATACAATATGTCTCCGCCCGTTTTTCTGTTAATTACTTCCCTTTTTGTCCTCATGAGGAAGAACCACTGGGGCTAAGATGATCATATGTGGCATGAATTCCCTTAAAGATCCCAAGGTCAGGTTCATCTCTGAAATTCTCTGACGTACAACATCGATCTCTCTGTGCGTTTTTCCGTAATCCCTAAAATCATTCGTCGACAACAGTTGGCTTCTCCAGGTATGTGGTCAATCTCCTTTAAAATATAGATCAGGGAGTCTGGATAACGCATGTCGCCTTCAACTGGTCTAATAATATATTTATTGTACTGTATTTTAGTTCCGCTGAATAGATTATTAAAAACAACCAAGAGAGGATACGCCTCTACACCATGGGCAGTCTGAGCCAGTCGTTGAGAAGCCACTACACAGACACGAGGCATAATCAATACTATAGCAAGCCGTCAAAACTTATCCTTGGGAAAGTAATTGAATTCCACGTTAAGCAGTAACTTATCCTTCCTTCACAAGGTAATAAATTGGCAAAATTATATCCCTTCTTATAAATTAATTTAGCAGAAGAAGCATTCTCTTCACATAACTTCATAATTATGAATACTGGGATCTGGGCTGCACGTGGTCTCTGGTCGAGCATAGTCGTGCAACATCCGGCAGTTGGTAGGTTACTCCCATTAATACTCTTGGTCATATTGATTACAAAGTTCACTCTCCCTCAGGTACTCTTCTCCCTGCTGTTGGTGGCTACGCTCACCAATGCCGACGAATACGACCTACGATGTGAAGGAGGGAAAGTCCTGAGAACCGATGGCGTGTGTGTCTTCCCTAAAGTATATCAGCATCTGTTTGTGTACGATGCCCCAGCGTTACCCGAGGTCCCCGCCCCCCCACCTCAGATCCCAACACCCGAAATCATGACCAACATCGTCTTCATTCGCGGGCCAGAACCAGTGCAGGAGCCTGACCCTATCATAGTGGCGCCACCTAGAAATGAGAATGTTGTTTACGTCCTAAACAAGCAGCGGGCACCAGAGGGTCCAAAAGTCATCGAAGTTCCTGCTCCACCACCCAAGACCCCTAAAGTGTACTTTCTCCACTACGACGACGACAATATCCCAGTGCTTCCTGGCGGCGCCGACTTCCAAGATGCTCTTGCTTCCGCGATTGGTTCCGGGAGTTCTCCTGGCATTACCGGCGCCAGTGGTGCTTTTGGTGGTGGTGGTGGTGGTGGTGGCATTAGTGTTGTTGGTGATGGTACTGGCAGTATCGGCCCTTACTACATTTCTCCCTATGTTAATCATTAAAACTCTCATAGCATAAGTTCTCCCCGAGCCTCGACTGCCACTGCCCTACCTTGGAAATGCATATATTACAGTATAAATATCACATTACTTTTATTTTATTGTTATATTATGTGAACACTAGGGTCGTTGCATATCACCATGTTATATTTTTTTATTTGTTAACTAAATGTGTTATACTGTATGTCAAGCCGTTTCATTTTCCTCCTGGGTGATACTAACTAGTGTACATCTTATATATAATATTTTCTATGGTATCTCAATTATTACAGCATACAGTATACTGTAGGTTCACTCATACCAGGCAAAATAGTCAAGTTTTCTGTTTCAGCAGCGTTCAAATTTGAGGAAAACATCTTACAGAGTGATAAGGCTTACAGCACCCTTAGTCTTACAGCACCATAAGTCTTACAGCACCATAAGTCTCACAGTATCCTGAGTCTTACAGTATCCTAAGGCTTACAGTATCCTAAGGCTTACAGCACCCTAAGGCTTACAGTATCCTAAGGCTTACAGCACCCTAAGTCTTACAGTATCCTAAGGCTTACAGCACCCTAAGTCTTACAGTATCCTAAGGCTTACAGCACCCTAAGTCTTACAGCAGCATAAGTCTTACAGTATCCTAAGGCTTACAGTACCCTAAGTCTTACAGTATCCTAAGGCTTACAGCACCCTAAGTCTTACAGCACCATAAGTCTTACAGCACCATAAGTCTTACAGAATCCTAAGGCTTACAGCACCATAAGTCTTACAGTATCCTAAGTCTTACAGTATCCTAAGGCTTACAGCACCCTAAGTCTTACAGTATCCTAAGGCTTACAGCACCATAAGTCTTACAGTATCCTAAGTCTTACAGCATCCCAAGTCTTACAGCACCCTAAGTCTTACAGTATCCTAAGGCTTACAGCACCATAAGTCTTACAGTATCCTAAGTCTTACAGTATCCTAAGGCTTACAGTATCCTAAGTCTTACAGCACCATAAGTCTTACAGTATCCTAAGGCTTACAGCACCATAAGTCTTACAGTATCCTAAGGCTTACAGCACCCTAAGTCTTACAGTATCCTAAGGCTTACAGCACCCTAAGTCTTACAGTATCCTAAGTCTTACAGCACCCTAAGTCTTACAGCACCCTAAGTCTTACAGTATCCTAAGGCTTACAGCACCATAAGTCTTACAGTATCCTAAGTCTTACAGCACCCTAAGTCTTACAGCACCCTAAGTCTTACAGTATCCTAAGGCTTACAGTACCCTAAGTCTTACAGTATCCTAAGGCTTACAGCACCCTAAGTCTTACAGTATCCTAAGTCTTACAGTATCCCAAGTCTTACAGTATCCTAAGGCTTATAGCACCATAAGTCTTACAGTACCCTAAGTCTTACAGTATCCTAAGGCTTACAGCACCATAAGTCTTACAGTATCCTAAGTCTTACAGTATCCCAAGACTTACAGCACCCTAAGTCTTACAGTATCCTAAGTCTTACAGCACCATAAGTCTTACAGTATCCTAAGGCTTACAGCACCCTAAGTCTTACAGCACCCTAAGTCTTACAGTATCCTAAGGCTTACAGCACCCTAAGTCTTACAGTATCCTAAGGCTTACAGTACCCTAAGTCTTACAGTATCCTAAGGCTTACAGCACCATAAGTCTTACAGTATCCTAAGTCTTACAGTATCCCAAGTCTTACAGCACCCTAAGTCTTACAGTATCCTAAGTCTTACAGCACCATAAGTCTTACAGTATCCTAAGGCTTACAGCACCATAAGTCTTACAGTATCCTAAGGCTTACAGCACCCTAAGTCTTACAGCACCCTAAGTCTTACAGTATCCTAAGGCTTACAGCACCCTAAGTCTTACAGTATCCTAAGGCTTACAGTACCCTAAGTCTTGCTAGTATCCTACAAGGCTTACAAAGCACCCTAAGTCTTGACATAGTATGCTTACATAGTACCCTAAGTCTTACAGTGTCCTAAGGCTTACAGCACCCTAAGTCTTAAGCAGTATCCTAAGGCTTACAGCAATCTCTAAGTCTTTACAGCACCCTAAGCCCACAGCAACCCCAGCCCATAAAGACCAAGGTTTACAGGCACCCTAAGTCTTACAAGTATCCTAAGGCCACAGCACCCTAAGTCTTACAGTATCCTAAGGCTTACAGCACCCTAAGTCTTACAGTATCCCAAGTCTTACAGCACCTCTAAGCCTTTACAGTACCCTAAGTCTACAGTATCCTAAGGCTTGTAGCACCCTAAGCCTTTACAGCACCCTAAGTCTATAGCATCTCAAGGCTTACAGCACCCTAAGTCTTACAGCACCCCAAGCCTTTACAGTATCCCAAGTCTTACAGCACCTAGTCTTACAGCATCCTGTCTACAGTATCCTAAGGCTTACAGTATCCTAAGTCTTACAGTATCCCAAGTCTTACAGTATCCTGGTTATTTACAGCACCCCAAGTCTTACAGCACCCTAAGTCTTACAGTATCCCAAGTCTTACAGCACCCTAAGTCTTACAGTATCCCAAGTCTTACAGCACCCTAAGTTTTACAGTATCTCTAAGGCTTACAGCACCCTAAGTCTTACAGTATCCCAAGTCTTACAGTACCCTAAGTCTTACAGTATCCTAAGGCTTACAGCACCCTAAGTCTTACAGTATCCCAAGTCTTACAGTACCCTAAGTCTTACAGTATCCTAAGGCTTACAGCACCCTAAGTCTTACAGTATCCCAAGTCTTACAGTACCCTAAGTCTTACAGTATCCTAAGTCTTACAGCACCCTAAGTCTTACAGTATCCCAAGTCTTACAGTACCCTAAGTCTTACAGTATCCTAAGGCTTACAGCACCCTAAGTCTTACAGTATCCTAAGTCTTACAGTATCCTAAGGCTTACAGCACCCTAAGTCTTACAGCACCCTAAGTCTTACAGTATCCCAAGTCTTACAGCACCCTAAGTCTTACAGCACCCTAAGTCTTACAGTATCCTAAGGCTTACAGTACCCTAAGTCTTACAGTATCCTAAGTCTTACAACACCCTAAGTCTTACAGCACCCTAAGTCTTACAGTATCCCAAGTCTTACAGCACCCTAAGTCTTACAGTATCCTAAGTCTTACAGTATCCTAAGGCTTACAGTACCCTAAGTCTTACAGTATCCTAAGGCTTACAGCACCCTAAGTCTTACAGCACCCTAAGTCTTACAGTATCCTAAGGCTTACAGCACCCTAAGTCTTACAGCACCCTAAGTCTTACAGTATCCCAAGTCTTACAGCACCCTAAGTCTTACAGTATCCTAAGTCTTACAATATCCTAAGGCTTACAGTATCCTAAGTCTTACAGTATCCCAAGTCTTACAGCACCCTAAGTCTTACAGTATCCTAAGTCTTACAGTATCCCAAGTCTTACAGCACCCTAAGTCTTACAGTATCCTAAGTCTTACAGTATCCCAAGTCTTACAGCACCCTAAGTCTTACAGTATCCTAAGTCTTACAGCACCCTAAGGCTTACAGCACCCTAAGTCTTACAGTATCCCAAGTCTTACAGCACCCTAAGTCTTACAGTATCCTAAGGCTTACAGCACCCTAAGTCTTACAGCACCCTAAGTCTTACAGTATCCTAAGGCTTACAGCACCCTAAGTTTTACAGCACCAAGTCTTACAGCACCCTAAGTCTTACAGTATCCCAAGTCTTACAGCACCCTAAGTCTACAGTATCCTAAGGCTTACAGCACCCTAAGTCTTACAGCACCCTAAGTCTTACAGTATCCTAAGTCTGCTATCCCAAGCCTTACAGCACCCTAAGTCTTACAGTATCCTAAGGCTTACAGCACCCTAAGGCTTACAGCACCCTAAGTCTTACAGCACCCTTGCTCACAGCACCCTAAGTCCACAGTATCCCAAGTCTTACAGCACCCTAAGTCTTACAGCACCCTAAGTCTTACAGTATCCCAAGTAAGTCTTACAGCACCCTAAGTCTACAGTATCCTATACATAGCACTTAAGTTCAGTATCCAAGTCTACAGTATCCTAAGGTTTACAGCACCCTAAGTCTTACAGCACCCAAGTCTACAGTATCTCAAGTCTTAGCACCCTAAGTCTTACAGCACCCTAAGTCTTACAGTATCCTAAGGCTTACAGCACCCTAAGTCTTACAGTATCCTAAGTCTTACAGCACCATAAGTCTTACAGCACCCTAAGTCTTACAGTATCCTAAGGCTTACAGTACCCTAAGTCTTACAGTATCCTAAGGCTTACAGCACCCTAAGTCTTACAGTATCCCAAGTCTTACAGCACCCTAAGTCTTACAGCACCCTAAGTCTTACAGCACCCTAAGTCTTACAGTATCCTAAGGCTTACAGTACCCTAAGTCTTACAGTATCCTAAGGCTTACAGCACCCTAAGTCTTACAGCACCCTAAGTCTTACAGTATCCCAAGTCTTACAGCACCCTAAGTCTTACAGCACCCTAAGTCTTACAGTATCCTAAGGCTTACAGCACCCTAAGTCTTACAGTATCCTAAGTCTTACAGCACCATAAGTCTTACAGCACCCTAAGTCTTACAGTATCCTAAGGCTTACAGTACCCTAAGTCTTACAGTATCCTAAGGCTTACAGCACCCTAAGTCTTACAGTATCCCAAGTCTTACAGCACCCTAAGTCTTACAGCACCCTAAGTCTTACAGCACCCTAAGTCTTACAGTATCCTAAGGCTTACAGTACCCTAAGTCTTACAGTATCCTAAGGCTTACAGCACCCTAAGTCTTACAGCACCCTAAGTCTTACAGTATCCCAAGTCTTACAGCACCCTAAGTCTTACAGCACCCTAAGTCTTACAGTATCCTAAGTCTTACACAGTATCCTAGAGCTTACAGCACCCTAAGTCTTACAGTATCCCAAGTCTTACAGTACCCTAAGTCTTACAGTATCCTAAGGCTTACAGCACCCTAAGTCTTACAGTATCCCAAGTCTTACAGTACCCTAAGTCTTACAGTATCCTAAGGCTTACAGCACCCTAAGTCTTACAGTATCCCAAGTCTTACAGTACCCTAAGTCTTACAGTATCCTAAGTCTTACAGCACCCTAAGTCTTACAGTATCCCAAGTCTTACAGTACCCTAAGTCTTACAGTATCCTAAGGCTTACAGCACCCTAAGTCTTACAGTATCCTAAGTCTTACAGTATCCTAAGGCTTACAGCACC